TCACGTGATTGAAGGCCGCCATATTGTTACCCTTCCCGCGACGTTTAGGCGTAGGAGCCTGGGTATTCTTTACGTTGTTTAAGCCTAATTCCTGGTCTTGTCTGGCAACAGAATGCCTCGATGTGTGGCATAGAAATGCTCTGTCAAATCTGGAGAAGGTATAGTGATGCACAGGTTACCTAAGGATAAAAGGAGACGCAGAGAATGGGAAGTAAAGGTCAAACGATCCGACTGGACTCCCCACGACAACTCTTTTCTATGCGATGTAAGTACATTCGATGATTTCAGGGGTTTTGCAAATCGTGTTATGTTCAGGTCTAAAAACTGGATATAATAGATATGAAAACTTTGTGAGAGGGTTTCTTTCCACGCACTGGCTATCTAAACCTAGGCCTAGACGAGGAGCATGCACCATGGCTTCTGAGACACTGTCAACAACATTTCTGATAGGCCTACACATAATCGATCGATTTATGTTTTTCTATAAATGTAAAATTCTAAGACTATTTACTTTTTTAGTATTTAGTATTATTTACTTCCAATCACCAAAACAAACAGTATAATTTAAAGGTGTGCACCATATTGGTGCTTGTACGGTGAGGCAAGGGGCCATGGCTCCTAACTCTAATATTTGTGCTGGTCCTGATTTTCAACCCAACCCCCCCCCCCACCACCACCCTTCTCCCTATCAATATCATTGATTTCCTAAATGCCTATCAGTATTACCCCACCCCCTTTAGAGATCAAATGAAACGCCACCATTGTTTATGTTATTTCATTATTGACATTCGCAGAAAAATATGGAAGGGCAATGTAGACTGTGGGTCTAGACTATAATGTGAACACTAAGCCTTTTGGGCCAGTCACTTGTGTAAATTTTGGTTTCTCTTCCAGAATCACTTCGACGACAGTCAAAGAGAAACAGATCGCCAGGACAACAGCCGACAGCTGAAGCAAAATGGTTTCAAAGCTGAAATGATGATTATTGAGTGGTGTGATATAACTTTCATGCCTTCATGACATAAAATAAATTGTGCTGATTGAAACTGAATAATGAGCCTTTTTCTGTTCAGGTCCACAAGTAAAAGAGATAGGGGTGGGGAGTGGGGTGGGGCGGTGCTTCCTTAAATTATTTTCGCCCCCCCCCCCTCCCCCTCCACTGCAAAATTCAAACAAGTTCTCAATCGAAGCTGAAATCAGTCTCTATCAGCTATTTCAGCCTCCGTGCAAATGCATTCGCCCCCCTTGGCACATTGGTCAGGTTACGGGCCTGTTTCTGTTGATAACGATTTATAGTACACATCTTGCTTTGAGCAATTTTCATGATGACTAAATTTCTTCGACAAAGATGGAGTTCAGTCCTTTATACTAACTTCACTATATTCTAAAGCTTTATGTAACAAAAATCATTGGTTATAGTTTATGCACCGTTTTGACAGTCGTCAGGCACACGGGCCTATTGATCAAAAACAATATGAATTATATTATACATTATATTACTTATAAATATGTTGCATAAACTATAACTAGTGATTAGCCTATTGTTCCATATAGCTGTAGAATATACAGCTGGGCCCTAGCTATTTTAATATGGAATATTACAGGTTTAATATTTCGGTGGTTAATATTTGGAAAGTGCTAAAATTCAAAATTTGTCTTCTTTTTGTGTTTTTGTATAGACATACCAAATTTGATCAAAATCGGTTAAAAACTGTAAATTCTAGAGCGTTTACGAGGGATAACGTCGGCCGCCTTGTAGCTAAGAGAGGGTAACAAGATGGCGCCTTGTGACGTAGTTGGCCAGACTCTCTCTATATATGCGGCTCTGTGGTCCAGATTTCAATTTATTTGTAGTCTGTAGTTTACTTCAAGGAGTTGTCTGCTCTTGGGCATTGTGGCGCTGTGATTTATTTTCTGTGATTTCATTGGCTGATTTCGATTTCGTTTAAAATTTCCGCCGGGAAGAAAACAATGACACAAATTTGATCGAAGGAAGAAAACTAATCACTAAAAATGATACACGAACGGAAAGATTCTCAGGTAAATTGAGTTCATTTTGAGTGAGTTGTTGTCCAGATTATATCTAGGAGATTTAACTGTTTTATTGACCAGTTTGGTAGCAGGCGAAGACAGATCGGAGAATTTGAAAATAGTGATTGAAAAAGTTTTGAGACAGTGATGGGGTGGGGCACTCTGAAATAGTTTTTGACAATTATTTGTTTTGAACATCACTTCAGCTGAAGTGTTTTCTATGTTGAAATTGATTCATTCACTTTGGTAATTTTGGAATCTCATCATTGGGCACTGTAAGTGTTGGTGTTGCACTGCCTATGGTCAATCCAATAGACAATACACAAGTTAATATCTAGTTGAAATTGAGAATAAGACCAAACCAATAACAAAATAATTAACTCTTTATTTGTTTCAGGCAATCGTGTATACAACACATATAATTATTTAAAAATAAAGAAAAAGAAATAATTTGAATAAGGGAAAATATAACAACTAAAATGAAATAAAATATGTTAATTCTCCTTCTTTACATACCCTAAGCATATATATACAGTGGTGTAACCTATTTTCATGGATATAAGGATTCAACACCGAATTTCGTCAAAGTTAAAAAAAAGAATTTTTTCACTTTGATCCATATTTCATGAGCAACCAACTCTGCAACGGCGGCAGAATGCGTCACCTATTTTCGTGTACAATGTTTGATCTATAAATAAGTCTAGAAAAACACGTTGTTATACCAGGTGGTATAATTATCTTCTAGTGACAATTCCTTCAAAGAACCACGATTTTAAAAACAAATAGTGACTGACAAAATAAGATTTGTAGCGTGATTTATTGCTAAAAGTCACTGAAACAACACAAGAATATGGCCCACTTTGTGTTCCATAAAAATTTTCTGCTGACACGGAATCCGCTAGTTGATCACGTGACTTCATTCGTTGGACTACATTCTAGCAGACGACACTTGGAATTCCGATTACCGCTTGGAATTATAAGGAAATTCGGCCGATAATAAATGGTGACGTTTGGTAATAACTGAAATCGGCCATTTTGTATTTGTCAAAGTAGTACCTTTAACCTTGCTTGAAACTACTGGATTCATTCTACTAGCTGATATTGTGCAGACAACCAATGTTTACCAAAACAAGCTAATGCGGAGTTCGCGTAAGGCCGCTCATGTAAATTATTAAAATTTTTCGGAAATCCACGAAAAATAGGTTAGCACAAAATTAGGTTACTTGACTGTATATATAGGGAAGGAAAGCACTGGGGGGAAACCACTAAGGTGGAAATTATATAGGGGGGAAACCACTATGGGAGGAACTTGTCAATGGGGGAAACCACTGTAAGCCCTTAGACTTAGTAAGACTAGAAGTAGAACTAGAAGAGACTTTCAGTTTTAACTGAGTTGAGCTGTCGGGCTATTTAGTAATTTTGTCTGGCTCTTGCTACTCTTGCTTGTTTCTTCATCTTTTAACTACTAGGTGTATGCTCAAAATAACTCTTATTTGAGATGTTTGGAATTGCAATTATAATAGTGGATCATTCTTAGGTTACAAGGGATCTTAGCAGCCATGTGCACTTGCCTACTGAACTACCGTACCGTAAAAGCTTAGCCTTAGGTGACAATGTTGGCAGAATGTCAATTGTGCATTGCTAATTATTTTTTGTGGGTGTATTGTAGGTCATTGTAGCCTATAAATTTTTTATTTAACAATTATTTTTTGGCTGTTTTGCCTAGCTTTTAATTTACTACGGTACTCCAATCATATTATTGTGGTTGTATAGTAAAACCAAACTGACTGTACATAGGTCAAAGCCTATCTTTGTTATTGGGTTTAACATTTAGTGCACATCAGAAAACATTTTGAATTCAGATAAGCTTATTTTAGCAGTCTCATTTTTTTCCAATTAAGTTTATTTAAATAACCTTTATAGGAGACGGCTTTGATAATGATTTTAAGCTTTGATTGGACTTAAGTCATTAATGACAATCTGTTTTGATTGACAGCCTTTTACAGCTTTTACTTTCTGTAATTATAATAGTTTCTTTTAATCATCACTTTAGACTTAACTTGCCCAATCATTGTTATTATGTGGGTCCTTTTAGCACCTTTTTACAGCCAGCTTGTGTTAATCCAATTAAAAGGCAATAAAGCATTCAGTATGAGAAAGTCAATATCATCTGGCAGTATTGCCTCAAAGGGTGGGTCTAGCTATTTAAATCAGAGAGGTATCTATCAGAGAAGATTTGGGATCTCACCACAACCAACAGTTGAAGACATGAAGAACAAATCTACATTAAAACATCAGGATGTAAGAAACTTGTCTCAGGATGTTTTATATAATTAATAGTGCTGTGTAGGCCTATTGCCTGGTATAGAATATGTATCACTACCAGTAAATGGGATAATAGAAAAGCTTAGCTTCAAATATTCAATTATTTTTTATGGCTACACTATAGTTGATAAATTGTCAACAAATAACTGTTGTCCTGTAATAATATGGTACGGGTATCAATGATGAACACTGCCATGACTGTCTTGGATCTCTCTACAACTGAACATTTCTCTAAATTTTGTATCTTTCAGTCCAACTCCAAGTTAACAATGGTAGCAGCTTTTGATGATTTATGTCGAGACTCCAGAGTTTTAAAGGAGAGCTGTGAATATGGTGAGTCTCCAGACTTGAAAGCAATTATATGTCGTTTTTACCATATGCAGGCCTGGTCCTTCCTACTTTCACCACTGAGTTATCTGCCCTATTTATCACAGTATGGTACAATTATAAACAAGACACAGTATGGTACAATTATAAACAAGACACAGTATGGTACAATTATAAACAAGACACAGTATGCAATTAACAATAACAGCTTTTAGCAAGATAATTGAAATAAAAATAATCTGGTGATCAATGATGCCAACTTCTATGTAAATTATTTTTTATATAAGTAAGCTTATATAAGGTTTCTGACAGTAGTCCTCTAAATACTACAGTGATATATAATGCTTCAATGATACTATTTTTTAGAATTCAAGATATTTGTCAAAAATCAGGAAGATTGTAGAAGAAAATGGAGTGCTGCAGAGCAAAAAGTGGAAGTTTTACAAGAGAAAGTTGGGCATCTCACATCAGAAAATGGTAGACTCCAGACCATACTTAAACATTCGAAGTAAGATAGTCTTTGTTGCTTCTAAAACTTAGTAATGTTTGTTTGATGACTATGTAAGTTGTAACTATAGTTAGTATAGTATTTTATTATTTGAATGATTGCTTGACGTAGGTTTTATTTATTGTTTTTTCAGATCACAGATTGACTATGAGAAACAAAAACGTAAAGAAGTGGAAATTGAAAGGGATTTCTTGGTAGGATATCATTAATGTTTTGTGATGCAAGATTCCATTCATTCATTTGAATTGGATGATTAACAAAAAAAGATTTTTGAAGGCAAATATGGCATAGCAAATAAAAATGAGACATCAACCATACATATAATGACCAGTAGCATGAAGGTATATAGTTTAAAATATTTTTTTGTAGAAACGACAAGTGAATAATATACAGGAGATGTTGAACCCTAACAGTGGCAACTCAATTAGACTTAATGACCATGATCGAGAAAAACTGGCTTTTATTTCAATTAATCACCCTACTTTCTCACATCAACAAAAAAAGTAAGTTCAGATATTTTCTAACAATTGTATCTCTGTAATATTTTAAGATCTTTAGAGATGAAAATTATGATAACAATATTTTTGTAAAAACTAGATTTGGTACAGTATTTAATTTGTTTGGGATTCAAATGGTTCTACCACAAGCTTTAAGCTTGTGATTAATTATTGAGACTGTAATATAGTGTTGAACTTGTCCATTACAGAATGGAGACTATCTATGATGATGCGTCTGTATCAGACCTGGATGATATTAGTTATGATTTTAGTTATGACCATGACAAATCACGAAGATTGTCTGAGAAACGACCTGTACCCTCAGCTCCTCCCATGGATCAAGAGCATATTCCACATAAACGACAGAGACACGCCTCTGCTGTAAGGATACATTGTTTTATAATGCTTTACTTCTTTCTTTTAAACAATTCAATATTCTTAAAGCGGAAAATATGGAACCCATTTCACCTAGAGATGTGTTATTCCCACAAATTTATTTAATTCTTCCAAGTGTTATTAGTTAGGAAGGTCTTTTCCATAGAAAATCTGATTTGAATTACTTGAAATAAAGAATAACAATGTTTTTATTACTAATATTGAATATTATAGGCAAACAATTCAATTATTACTACCACTACTATAGCTATAAATGAACATGGTACTCCTGAATATGCTGAGACTAACATTCAAGTACCCAAACTAAATAAAAGTTTTAGTGAGTCTGCATTGAATACTCATGTTGCTCATGTAAAACATGACAGAGACATCGGTAAGTGGATTAAATTTTTGATAGTAATAATTTCTGGCTGAAATTGTGCTTGTAATTTCGATTGTAAAAGTAGATTAAATTGATAAAAAGAATTTGGTGTAGGTATATTGAAAGAACAGGTTGCTGTAAATCAATCCATCAAATCTAATCAAAGTTGGGAATTCTTTCCATTGTAATTGAATGCTTTGTTGAAATGTTTTTATTCCTCTTTTTTTTTTCACAATGAATAATAAATGTTTAATTTTTCTATTTCTAGACAGTGATCCTGAATCTGAAGATTCTTTCTGGGGAGCCAGTGATAGAAATCGTAACAGAAACAATAGATGCACTCCTGATAGGTAAGTTCCACTTCATACTTCTTACTCTTATACATTCTGACTAAAATGATGATCTAGATGTTTCATTTATTTTTTTTCAATGGATGCTTTCATTTTGGTCAGATTATCCCGTAAGTAGGATGGAAAATAGTAAAAATATAATCAGATTACCTCCCTTTACCATATACAAATTGATATTAAAATTTTATTCATGAAGGAGCCATTTTGGCTTTATTTTAATTGAAGATGAAACCTCTATGACAATGACTATTATTTCAGCACACCAATGAGAAAGTCTAACTCTGCCAGTAATGGATTGAATAGATTACATATCTTTATAACAGAGAACAAACCATTTAAACACAAATCTTGTGCTTGTGTAAGTTCATATTTACTTGCTCTTCTTTCCATATCACACAAAAATAACATTACAAAAATTCAATTTACTAACAAGGTCTTGGTGTCTACCTTCACTCCCCTTCAATGAAACTTATACAAATGTATTATGCCCTTAAAATTAGTATTGAAACATGAAGTGATTTTGACCAACCGGGTAATTTTCAGAAATAACCCTTTGTAACCCAGTTAATTAGTCAAGATCAAAAATTGTATTTGCAGCGGTAACACATCATAAATTAAACTGCAGTACAGTGTACTCCAACATCAGAGTATTCCAACAATGTAATCTTGCATATTTTTTTGTTTTTTTTTTTCTTATGTCAGTTTAAAAAACTGAATTGCTACACTAATCAGTGATCCCAACAATCAGAAAAATCTGTACAATCCAACATCTAGTCATCTTAATCACTTATCCCCAATTAGATAATCGCTTGTACTATCGATAATCCAACATAAAATCACATGAAAACAGAATATAGCTGATATCAATTCTAATGATTAATCAGCGCCAATGAACTTGCTTCAAGGTCATTGCTTGGATCAGTATTCAAGGTACAAGTGCCATTTATTTATGGTATATAATACAAATATGCAACTTTACTAGATAAGAAACTTATCTGGGTCACTAAGTTACATATAGTAACATGTAGCTCAGGACTGTTAAAAAATACCAGCACCAGTACTTGGCTTGGACCAGTATCTTGGTTTCAAGCTGAAAAATGTTGACCACAAAAATCAAAGTAATTCTTGCAATTTGATAATTAATACCCCATCACAATAAACATTTCAGCTCTCTACAAAATCATCACAAGTTTAGTCACTTATTTACTAGAGAAAAAATAGGTTAAGGATGAAGTAAGGCACAAATTTTCTTCTCAAAAATGCCTTCTTTCAACAGCTAATAAATTGATAGTTAACTGATAATCTCAAATCAGACCTGATTACTCGTGAAATAACTGATTAACCGTTTTAACACTACTTAAAATACCTACTCACTAGAATACAACAAAACAAGACTGATGGTTTTAAATTTCATAATTATATAAATATACTTGTGTTTTACAGTGTGGAATAAAGATGAAAGGGAAATTCATGAAATGTAAAAGTAAGTAACAAATTTTTTAATTGGTTCATGATTCTATATTATGGTAATAAAGATGATTGTTTTCTTTGCCTTAGAGCACATAAACTGTAAAACAGTATCATGTAAAATTTGTTTACTTTTCTGTGGCTCCTGTTTTGACCATTTAAACTTGTTGATAAGTCATAATGTATATTTTTTTTTGCAGACTGTAAATCATCATGTCATATTGGATGTAAAGATAAATTGCCTCTACCATGCTTCCCATGTACTGTTACCCCTGGTAAAAAGATGGAAGGAGTTATCTCAGATTTCACCTCAGTTGAACCACCGATGTTACCACCACTTATTGTAAGGACATTTCTACATCTCTCCACTTCTTGAAATCCTTGGTATACTAGTTTGAAAATCATAGAATTATGAAACAAAATGCCAGAAAGATAACCTTTTGGATCAAATTGAGATCACCGGTTTGGTTATTTGACCTGAGCAGATATCATGTTTCACCCATGAAAATAAATGTATAAAAGTATAGTAAACTAGTGTCCAAAAGAAACGATACCAACTTATTTTCAAAATTGTTTTTTACTAAGTGAATTGTCTAATATGAAAACATGCCAATTTGTATTGCACATCCCAAACACAGCATAGTCGATAAAAATACCGGGAACACGTGATCACTTCCGGGAAAAAACGTAAATTTCGTGAAAGTGACATTTCCCTCTCTAGCATGTTCTGCACGTGCATAAAAACTGTATAAAATGGCTGATCAGACACGTTGATATCACAGCAACAAAAAGAACACAAGATATGCCACGTTTGACAGCCATCGAGAGAGAGAGAGCAGTTGGAATGGTCCAACAAGGAGCGACACACGTCGACGTCGCCAAAAGGTTGGGCTGCGCACGCATCACTATCACCAGGTTGATGCAGCGGTTACGTCAGACAGGTCAGGCGTCAGACAGGCCCAGGAATGGAAGACCACGAGTAACCACGCCCCGTGAAGATCGTTACATCCGGGTATTACACCTGAGGAACCGCACCTTAACAGCGACGTCCACGGCGGCTACAGCACTGGGACACATGATCAGTCGACAGACCGTCTACAGGAGATCACGGCAGTATGGTATCCGGCCACGTCATCCCTACCGCGGACCGCTCCTGACGCCTCGACACCGGAACAACAGACTGATCTGGGCCAGGCGAGTTCGACGTTGGCAACGGCGGGACTGGGCGCGCGTTATGTTCTCTGATGAGAGCAGATTCCTCATCTTCAAAAATGATGGACGGCAGCTTGTATACCGACAATTTGGTGAACGTTTGGCGTCTAACTGTATCCAACAGGTCCGGCCGTTTGGAGGTGGAGGGTTAATGGTTTGGGGTGGCATATGCAGTGACGTCAAAACGAGGCTTGTCGTGGAAACCTGAATGCACAGCGTTATATTGATGACATCCTACGGCCTGTTGTGGTGCCCTTTATTCAGCAACAGCCTCGTGGACTCCTTTTCCAACATGACAATGCAAGGCCACACACAGCAAGATTGAGACAGAACTTCCTTGCCAACACCAACGTACAGGTTTTGCCATTTCCCGCATGTTCACCGGACATGAATCCCATCGAGCACTTATGGGACCACCTCGATCGGCAAATCCGACGTCGCCGTGTGCCTCCAGTCAACGTCCAGGACTTGGAACGATGTCTCCTCGAGGAATGGCAACGCATCACTCCCAACGTTATCAGACGTTTGACGGCATCAGTCCATAGGCGTGTTCTGGCATGTATTGATGCTCACGGTGGACATACCCGCTACTGACTTGACTTTGTGACGTGTCGTGTGACATTTCCCGTTGTTTCTGTGATCAGTGCTCTAACGAAATGTTCTTTTTTCGACCCCACCCATCTTTAAAGGCTTGTCATATTGGTTGAACAGATTTTATTGAAATGAAATTTTTGTACAGATGTTGTGAAAGGATTTCTCAAAAGCATAACACCAATCCTAAACTTCTGCATTGTTTAGTTTTTCTTTTATGTCGTTGCAAACAGGTGGTATCGTTTCTTTTGGACACTAGTTTAGTATAAAAATGTCTACTTCTAGGTACACTGTATCAATGAGATAGAATCTAGAGGATTAAATGAAAAGGGAATATATCGTGTTCCAGGGTAAGTATACTGTTTGAGTAAACAATTCTTTAGTTTAATATCTGGAATCTACATGTAAGCTTATATTATAATACTGCTCCTAATTTTTAAGTTGGTTGAAATTTATATTTAACATTCTAGATCTTCATCAGAGGTACGACAGTTGAAAGAAAAGTTCTTGAAAGAGAAGGGCATCCCAACATTAGTAAGTAAATCATCTGATCCATCAAGAGAAAATACAGTGTCAAGCACTGCCATTTTGCCACTGAGTTTTTTCTTTTTCCATTAATTGAGTTCCATGTGTATTTCTAAATGGTTGTAATATTTTTTAATTTTGATACATCTCTTTGATTATTATTTTCAGTCTAATATAAGAGATATACATGTATTATGTGGATGTATTAAAGATTTTCTACGAGGATTGAAAGAACCACTTGTTACCTATGCTTTATGGCATGACTTTGTTGCTGCTGCAGGTATGTAGACATGTTGATTTCAATGATATTTTATAAATCTGTTTATATTGCACATTGAATGACATTCATCGGAATTTGATTCAATGAACTAATTAACCAATAAGACCAATTTTATAATGAGATCATTTTTCCATAGAAAGCTTAATAAATTATTTGACTCAATGATATAAAATTACAAATATAATTGCATTGAATTGAACTTGTTCTTGTTTAACTGTTTTAGACAAGGTTGTAATCACCTCAGTATCCATAAGATATAGATAGATGTTTATCAAACTGAATCTAATTTGATGTTTAATTTTCTATATAGAAAAGAGTGAATCTTATGCTAGGGAAGATGCTTTGTATGAATGTATAGACCGTCTACCACAACCCAATAGAGACACCATGGCATTTATAATGATCCATCTATTAAGGTAGGTAGAAAATATATCTTAGAACAATCATAATTACTAATTTTGAAAAGCCAGTTCAGTGTTTACTGCAACCATCTTGTGACAGAAGCATTTTGATAACTTCCCTCTCCATATTCCCCATGATTTCTTAAAAACATTTTCTCAATTTGTATCTCTTTGTATAATTTTACAGAGTATCAGAAGCTTCAGCCTGTCAGATGCCAGCCAGTAATTTAGCTCGAGTATTTGGACCAACTATAGTAGGATATTCTAGTCCTGATTTAAACATGAACGACATGATGGAGACACACAAAATAAACTTGGTATGGTATATCACTTTTGTCTTTGATTAGTTATTTCTCTGTTAGATGGAATATCAAGTTCAAAGTATTTTTAGTCTTGAACATTGAAAGAAATCTAACACTTGACCCAGTATGATATGTCATCATTAATCCAGTGTATTTATATGGTTGAAATTTAACAAGTATGTATGATCAGAGACTGTGTCCATTGTTTTTTTATGTTTTTATATGCCCACATGTAATGTCATTGTAGGTGATGGAGAATCTGTTGAGGATATCTCATGATTACTGGCAGAAATATATGGACGTAGAAAATAGTTATATATACCCCACAGAGAAAACACCAGGCAGTATGACTCCTGGACAGGGAGGTATGTAGATGATAAATATTAATTTTAAATCACAACCTTATTATTGTGTCCTGATTTTAAAAGAAGAATCCTTAGTTTGGATATCAGATTTCAATAAGAAGTGTTTTAGAAATATAATGAAATGCTCTAAAGTCTGTGTCCTTAATGCTAAGTTTTCCTAAAAACGTTTTTTTTTCCTTTCCCAGCATATGTGAGCCGTCTGGGACCAATCCTGACACCTGGTTCTTATGAAGAATATCAGAGAAATACAGTTTTATCTCAAACACAGAATACACCAAGGTATTTTTTTGTTAATATCAGTTATTTAAATCATGTATCTGAAAAACTGATGTGTTCCCCAGCCAAACAATGGTTTCCTACCATAAATTTGAACTAGTAAATGAAATGGTATCTTTTCTGTGTTTAGAAGTTCATATCATTCAATCTTTGATAGTAACAATCCAATCCCAGTCTGAATTGAAAGAATAATTAATCATCATCCTTCAATAAATTCATTTCATTCATCCATTCACTCATTCCTTCATTCATGAATATTCATTTCATAATTCTGTCCTCTTTCACACATTTATTTTTCAAACTAAATTTCATTCATTTATTTCATATGTCCTCAACCTCATACAATTAATCATACCTCAGCCAGCCCTATTCCTCAATATATTTCTCTAGCTTACATAGTCACCTACAGGGGGTTATAAAGTCATTCATTTCTTGTGCTTAAAAATCATCATTTCTAAAATGGGCACAATCATTCATTTCATGAACTTAACAGTCTTTCATTTCATGAGCTTAACAATCATTCATTAAATGAGATTAAAAATCTGCTATCCTATCAGAAATGCAGCAGAATAATTGTTGATTATTTTGTATTAGACCATTGATGCCACCTTTAAGAATGCCGCCACTACGTTCATCATTAAGAAAATCACAGACACGAGCTCCTCTGGCTGCCTCTGAGATTAGCTATTTGTAACACCACCTATTAGGCTATATCTCACTAGGACAGGTACTTTTCAAACATGGCTTGGTTATATCTCTTTAATTACTAATTCTATATATATTTTTACTTCTACAACATTTTTCAATATATATATGCTAGATAGATTTCAAAAAATTTTTAGTCCATAGATATCAAGTTATAAGAACTTTTCGATAAGGTGTCTGGAGCTCTTGAAAGAAAAAAGTATTGAAGTAAACTATTGAACTATAAAATATATGTTTTGATAAATAAGAAAAAAGTTGGTTACATCAAATGGTTCCTGTCTAAATGACATTGGCTTTTCTTCAAAAGTTTACAATATAAGATAAGTTTAGGCTCAAATTTTATCAGTTGTCAAATGTAATTTTGGGTCACCATGACACACAATAAATTTTATTTCAATTCTATTTAGTTTGCTATTATGCAATGTTCTTGGCATTAGTCTATAAATTGACAAGCTTTTCTTTTTATATTATATAAATTTATATCATCATCAGTTTATGATATTGCATAATATATTGTATAATTTGAAAACATGCACTTGCTGCTGATTAGATTAGTAAATAGAGGCCAGTGAGTGCTACAAATATATGGTTCAATACTGTAACTGTCAGAGGTTCCTCTCATTGGATCTAATGGATCAGTTTAGAGAATGGCTGGAAATAAATAGCATTGTTATATCAGTGCTTCATAAACAGAACATGACTTATTAAGAAATATAAATTTGCTTCACAGTTCATAAAACTCTAGACTAGACTGTTCTATTAGGGAATGCTATGACTAATATTGAATGTTACTGCTGGTTGTCTGGTTGTTTTCATTTTCTTAAATGTATTCTTAAACCTTAAAATCAGCTCATGCTTACTATTGAATGATTCTACAGTATTGTTTAGTACCATTTTTATACGCCCACATCTCTCTATGTGGACGTATATTGTCGGTACCCCTGTCCGTCCGTCAACCTTTGCTTGTAAACGCTCTAAAAACTAGATTTTTTGATGGAATCAAATGAAATTCAGTATGTGTATGCTTATTCATAAAACGAAGATTAAGTTCGAATTTGAGCTATTTTCGATCGTTAGAAGCAGAGTTATTGCCCTTGCCCCAAAATCTTGAATATGCTATTACTCTCTTAGTTTTCAACCGATTTTGATGAAACTTAATATGGATGTTATTGGACGTAAATCGAAAGGTTTGAGAAAATTTACTTCTGATTAAATTTAAGGCTTTTTCAAGATTTAGGCCTCTTGTGTCAGTTTTGAGGAGTTATCGCCCTTTAACCTCTATACAGTAAGTGCTTCTATCAACATCAATTGCTCGTAAACACTCTGTCAGTTCGTCCGTCAACATTTGCTTGTAAACAATAAACTAGTTTTTTTGATGGAATCAAATGAAATTCGGTATGTGTATACATTTTCATGAAACGAAGATCAAGTTCGAAGTTGAGCTATTTCCGACCGTTAGAAGCAGAGTTACTGCCCTTGCCCCAAAATCTTGAATATGCTATTACTCTCTTAGTTTTCAACTGATTTTGATGAAACTTAAAATGAATGTTTCGTTCTTACCACCCGCATGCCGTGGTGGGCGTATATGCCTGTGGTCCACTATCTTTTATTGTTTTATGCATCAAATATATATTATATATATAAAGTCGCTGATTAATTGTATAACGAATACCCTAACAGTATAACATAATTTGCCAAGTAACTTGTGTTTGAGTTTTATTAAATGATATATAAATGACAATATGTAATTTATAATGTCAAACCATATGTACCCTAGTATTCAAGTTTTGAATTTTTACCAAGTTTTAAAAGTTTCTTTTTGCCACAAATTGTGTTGGTCTTCTGTTAACTTTGATTTTATCTCTTTTCCAGCCGATTAATGGATAGAAGTCGATTACAAACCAGAAAACCCAGTCATTTTTTCAACGCTCTGGATAACTGAAAAAAGACTGAAGGTCTGAAATTGCCAATACACTTGTATATATAGATACTCCATATAGAATCACATAATAACGATTTTTGATTAGATGTTGAAGGATTTATTTTAGAATCAGCTGGTGACTATCAGTGAACAATTTTTTTGTATGATATAGGCATTAAGTATTTAATAGTGCTAAGAATTATTTAGCTATATATATTTAAATTCCAATGAAAATATTATTAGGGATTGTAAAGAGGTTTTCTAAAAAAAAATCATGTGTATCGGGAACACATCAATTTGCACCATTCTAATTTTCAGTCAGATGTCTGCGATTCCTGCACTTACAAAGCAATTTATGATACAGCATATTTTGCAATAAGTGACATCATCAAACGCTAAGTTTATGTGGAATTGCAAGAACCAAAGACATCCAATTGAAAATTTTAATGGTGCAAATTGATGCTATCCATGTCTTTGATAAAATTTCAGAACACCTCTTTACAAGAGTCTCTCTTAGAGTTATGAGGCAGTAATTTTGTTTTGTATCATATGAGATGAAATTGGTGATTTAAGAAACTAGTAGTCTGATTGTTGATAAAATCATCAAAGCAAAGAGACATGAAGCTTTCTAGATATAAGAATTACTGGCTTGCTTGATAAATAAGGCTACTTAAGTCAAACATTTTTAAACTATAGATAATTTGTTATTCATAGATTTGTTGGAAAACTGTTACAATTGAATGCTGTACATTGCTTGTGTAGTTATTATACCATATCAGACTTATATATTTAAATATATGAAAGAGAATACTGAACAAAATTATACTTGAACAAAATTTGATTTTTTTAATGTGTATACATATTTGATTTAAATTCTGGCAATTTTTTTTACTGATCAACTCTTGTAAATAAATCATATAGAACTTTCTTATTTACTTATATTCACGTCAACTGAAGTACTAATACTTTTGATTGCACCATATAAGCAATTCACACTGCATGTCAATTAAATGGAATTTATATTTTGATTTAGAACAAAAACTTTAGGAAGTGAATCGACATATTTTGACACTTCCATAGATATTCTTTAGTTTTCATTGCGTTAACAACAGTATGAATAGAGTGTTGAATCCATGCATATTTTACTGATAGATCAAAATTTCTAATGTCAGTAAAATGTATAGAATTCTACTCCCTGACATTATCTCTTCATACCTTGAGATATTTGATTTCTATGCAAATGAAATTTTAAATCAGATGTACAATATAAAAATCTTACTTTGATAATAGGGTAATTAGGAGTATTTGTAGTAGCTACACCTATGTGTTATAATTTGAAGAATAGAATAGATTGCCATTCCATTGTGAGGTTGTGACAGATAATTTGTACAGTATGTAAAATAGGTAACATTTTCATCTGGTTTTCCCTATCTTCACATTGTCAGGCTATCACCACCTTGAGTCAAATAACTGCCTTTTTTGTGAAAATAACAATTTTTGTATCACGGAATGCTGCGTTTTGAATGGATTGGACTCCAGCGAATACAGCCAATCAGAGCCTTCAACAGAAAGAATGCAGTCCTTTTAGATTTGTGGCCTGTGGATTGTGCACCAACTACTGTCGATCAAATCACTGCATTTACAAACTTCCTTGATACAAGAAAGTTATGTTCCTGTGAAGGTATAAGATGACTATTAGCTTGACATAGTAAAGATGGGTCTTTCTTTCTTCCCTCTTACCATAGAAAACTATACATTTTAAATACTCCAATCACTTGCTTTTCCCTTTGTTTATATTTCATTTATTTTAGTCTATTCATTTATTATCATAGATCTTATTTGTATTTCATTATATTTCCTTCATTTTCAAAATAAAATGATGAAGAGAAATGAGTTTAGTCAATCAAGTTCCCTAAGAAGTCAAATGAGTGATTGATTCAATCAAGTTCCCCATGAAGTCAAATGAGAGACTGATTCAATCAATCAAGTTCCCCATGAAGTCAAATGAGAGACTGATTCAATCAATCATGTTCCCTATGAAGTCAAATGAGAGACTGATTCAATCAATCAAGTTCCCCATGAAGTCAAATGAGAGACTGATTCAATCAATCATGTTCCCTATGAAGTCAAATGAGAGACTGATTCAATCAATCAAGTTCCCTATGAAGTCAAATGAGTGACTGATTCAATCAATCAAGTTCCCTATAAAGTCAAATGAGTGATTGATTCAATCAAGTTCCCTATGAAGTCAAATGAGTGACTGATTCAATCAATCAAGTTCCTTATGAAGTCAAATGAGAGACTGATTCAATCAATCAAGTTCCTTATGAAGTCAAATGAGAGACTGATTCAATCAATCAAGTTCCCTATAAAGTCAAATGAGTGATTGATTCAATCAAGTTCCCTATGAAGTCTAATGAGAGACTGATTCAATCAATCAAGTTTCCTATGAAGTCAAATGAGAGACTGATTCAATCAATCAAGTTCCCTATGAAGTCAAATGTGTGACTGATTCAATCAATCAAGTTCCCTATGAAGTCAAATGAGAGACTGATTCAATCAATCATAGGATCAAGTTCCCTAGAAAGTCAAATGAGAGACCGATTCAATCAATCAATCAAGTTCCCTATAAAATCAAATGAGAGACCGATTCAATCAATCAATCAAGTTCCTTATGAAGTCAAATGAGAGACTGATTCAATCAATCAAGTTCCCTATAAAGTCAAATGAGTGATTGATTCAGTCAAGTTCCCTATGAAGTCTAATGAGAGACTGATTCAATCAATCAAGTTTCCTATGAAGTCAAATGAGAGACTGATTCAATCAATCAAGTTCCCTATGAAGTCAAATGTGTGAATGATTCAATCAATCAAGTTCCCTATGAAGTCAAATGAGAGACTGATTCAATCAATCATAGGATCAAGTTCCCTATGAAGTCAAATGAGAGACCGATTCAATCAATCAAGTTCCCCATGAAGTCAAATGTGTGATTGATTCAATCAATCAAGTTCCCTATAAAGTCAAATGAGAGACTGATTCAATCAATCAAGTTCCCTATGAAGTCAAATGAGAGACTGATTCAATCAATCAAGTTGCCCATGAAGTCAAATGAGAGACTGATTCAATCAAGTTGCCCATGAAATCAAATGAGAGACTGATTCAATCAAGTTGCCCATGAAGTCAAATGAGAGACTGATTCAATCAAGTTGCCCATGAAGTCAAATGAGAGACTGATTCAATCAATCAAGTTCCCTATAAAATCAAATGAGTGATTGATTCAATCAAGTTCCCTATGAAGTCAAATGAGAGACTGATTCAATCAAGTTGCCCATGAAGTCAAATGAGAGACTGATTCAATCAATCAAGTTCCCTATAAAATCAAATGAGTGATTGATTCAATCAAGTTCCCTATGAAGTCAAATGAGAGACTGATTCAATCAAGTTGCCCATGAAGTCAAATGAGAGACTGATCCAATCAAGTGCCCTATGAAATTAAATGAGTAATTGATTCAATCAACCTGTGAAATGAGAGGCTGATTCAATTAAATTGCCTATGAAGTCAAACGAGAGATGATTCAATCAATTCAAGATACCTGTGAATTGAAATGATTGATTGATATGATCTATCAGTATCAAGTTACCAATGAAGTGAAATGAGTGGCAGATATAATCAATTATGCTCCCTATAATGATTCATGAATTGAAAAGAATGGCGAATTTAAGGGGCTTTTTTGCCAGCCGTTAATGTTTAAAAGTCAAAACTATTAAAAAAATTAACGTAAATTTTTATAGTATAGTATGCTTGGCATGTTGGAATCTGTTAGAAAACTAATGTACGGATTTAAGTCAAATCAACCCATAATTGAAGAGAAATATATACGAATTACGGTTTCAGCTAATAATATGGACACACACCACTAATTCATTTGCCATCTTTTTTCTCCCAAATGTCCGGCTAGCAAATGTGGATATGGCCAGCAAATTTCAGCTTTTTGTAGCTTTTTTAAGATTTTAAGATAAAAATTTATTTGTATAGTATAGTATAAGTATAGTCCCTTTGAACTAGAAACTTGCATAATTGCTGTAATCGGAACCTTAATTTTTGTTGTAATCGTTTTTCCTTTGCTTTGGTGTGTTTTTCCAAGTGCTGACGGTCTATCGAGCAGAAAAAGACCCAACACTTGGGCAAAATAACTCCATTTGATAAAGTTAGGTCTCGGCATTTTCACTCTATGTGGCCTATAGGAAACTTGCATTTTTGCTGTAATCGTTTTTCCTTTGCTTTGGTGTGTTTTTCCAAGTGCTGACGGTCTACCGAGCAGGAAAAAACCCAACACTTGGGCAAAATAACCCCATTTGAAAAAGTTAGGTCTCGGCATTTTCGCTCTATGTATAATAATAATAATAATAATAATAATAATGATAAATTTTATTCAGTTTAAAGGCAAGTGCCCGAGAACATACATTTCATTCATGTTTATAGCAATACAAGTCAATTAAAAAATGAGCTATTTACAATTTGATTATTTATAATTAATTCAATCACATTATTATAAGTATTATATTTTGACGCTTTTTCTAAGTAAAGTAGCATAATATATAAATTTAGCCAAGTTCCTTATAGTACTTTCGTTATGGCTGGATATTATGTAAATACAGTCTTGTTATAATCTGTATTTTATGTAACACCCAATATATTTTGAACGAATTTCAGAATAAAAAGGACAGGTGATCATGAAGTGGAACTCGTCCTCAACTTCATTTAATGTACATAGTATGCATAATCTATTCCTAGCCAGCGACCTTTAACTGACAATAACCCGTGCGCACTACATCTAAATTTATATAATGTTTGTAAGCTTCCATTAGACCTGTAATTCTAATTAACAATCCACACGTAACGTAACCGTCCACACTAAAAGAGTTTCGTTAGACCTGTAATTCCAACGACGTAAACACAATAGTTTTCATTAGATCTGCGAATTCTAATGTCACCATGTAACAGCCAGCCACAATAATATCCCTCACGTTCGGCCTAATCCACTGACAAAGATAGAACAACCATGATGAATATTTAAACAGTTAGCTTCCACAGCTTCCACTGCTACCATAGCTTCAGCTATCAAAAAGCTACAATACAAAATTACTTAATTTACTACAATGAAAATACTCAGGCTAAAAGACAGGCAAGACAGAATAATGCGCCACTCTATAATTATGCCATATTGTTATTTAAATAAATATAAACAAAACAACTTAACATATTGCATATAAAAAAAAACTATAATCAAATGAGGACCGTAGCCAAGGGGACCCCCCCCCCCCCCCCCTCCCCCCCCCTAGAAAAATGTACCGGTCACTTTTTTAAAATACACCTTTTCTTTTTCCTGGGTCAATAGGAGCGACAGGTAACTGAGTCTGAGTGAATAGCAAACAGTGGTCATTCTGGTCAGGCATTTTATGGTGGAGTAAGTGCACCAGTCAGCTGCTCTTGCATTGTCGATCATATGATGAGTATTTCGATATTTTGATTATACGTAACGAAAAATAAGGTTATGGCTTTCAGGGCAGCGTTATGCGAAATGGTTCAACAAAATACTAAGTATTCCTATCTGTAGGCCTAGAACTGTTTTTAAATATCTTTCTGTTTATACTTAGCTGAGGATGAAACCAGACATCATAGCTTTTTAAATTTAATTACATTAGAATAGATAATTTCATACAATTGAGTTTGTTGAAAATCATAAAAAGTCTGCAGTAAAGCGTCATTGGTAACAAAATTATTGGTCTGATGCTGGATTGTAATCTGTCCTGTCTCAAAATTCAAAAGATTTGATTGGTTGATTATAAATACTAACTAATAGACATATATTATCCTAAATTGTATTCATATGAATCAAACAACCAAACGTAGAAAAAATGGATAAATATTTGATCAAAAAAGACAAATTGCTTGATAGTTCCGACACTACTACGACTGACACTGGTATCAAAACCACAGCGGGCAACACAACGGATGCAGTACCAAGATGCTCTGGAAAGACAGGAGTACCAGGTGACATTGGAAAAGAAGACGTTCCAAAGCAACCGAGAATAAAATTTCCAGCGAAGTCTGGTCGCCATTTTAGTAACAGCTGGTATGATCGATTTCCATGGCTGGAGTATTCAGTGTCAAGGGACGCCCCTTTTTGATTTCCATGTCGAGTGTTTCACAATACATCTGCGGGTGCATTCATCAATTCATCACTGATGGCTACACAGATTGGAAGCATGCTGTAGGTGAAACTGGAAAGGGCCTCGGGAAGCATAACAATTGAGGTGTCAAAACAATTTCTCCAAGATAACGTTGCCAAGACAGAAAAGCAGGACTCCAATCTTGATCTTCAAAAACTATACGAGCAGAAATTGACTTTCCCTAAATTATATGCACTGGCTGCAAGCGTTGCCACATTCTGTTCTAGTACCGCTGTGTATGAAAGCATCTTTTCAACTCTTACTCGCGTTGATTCACCACAACGACGATCTATGACTCAGCTTCGCCAGCGCAATCTTGTTCTTCTTGTCTTCAACAGGAAGCGTACCCAGAAAATTAACTTGGACGTATTTGTTCAACGTTTTGCCATAAAACATACCCGACTACGTTTAAACTAAAACGGCAATTAAAATGTAACGTATTATAACTTGTGTGTTTTAACAAAAATAATCTCGAATCTAAAATACTCCATGAAAGTCGACGTTTAATCGTCTGTCAAGGTGCTTTGCTAAATTGCCCCCCTCAATTGCACGTTTATACTTTAAGTATTTAATTTGCATATTCTCGATCACTGGAGAATAGGTGTGACCCCATATTTCACCCCCATACGTCAAGATTGGCACAATCGTTTTATCA